AAGAGTTTTTAAGAGTTTAAGAGTTTTAAGAGTTTAAGAGTTTTTAAGAGTTTTAGTCAAATGCTTTATAATATAGTATAGATTATGGTTTGTGTTTCTTTTGTTTGTAAAATATTCGGGAGTATTCCCTTTTGGATTCCATCAGTATTCCTTCCCAGCAACGTACCCGAAATCTCCGTAGAAAGTAACGAGGTTTTCACTTTCTCTCCCACAGAGAAAGAAAGCGAGGGATTCAACCTTTTTATACATTTGTCTCCGCCGATCAACCACCACCAGAGGAAGATCCGATCCGATCCGATCTGATCTCACCTCATCTCTTGTTACACCTTCTCTGTGTGTTTTGATTGATTGCATTTCTCCATTTCTGTAGCAAATTTCAAATTTCTTGATGGAACGATTGAAGTGAATCCGTCTTCGTTGTTGCAATGCGAATTCTATGGTTTTGTAGGGTTTAGGTTAATTCTGCAATAAATTTGGATTATCCTAGAAAAGCGTGTGAGATCTTAACCTAGGGTTTTATAAATAAAAGCCGCATCTCTGGGGCTTCTTCGGTTGTGCATGAAGATTTGGTGCTGTTTATGCTTCGGCGAAGAAGAAGAAGAAGAAGAATATAAGAAGACAGAGATGATGAGAGAGAGGGAGGGCATTTTTGGAAATCTTGATTGTGATGAGGCTAAGTCGGAAGAAATAGGAAATGATGAGGAATTAGGGTCTGGGAACCCGATGGATGAAGATGATGGAGCAAAGTTTCGGTTGCAGCTAGGGGAGGGTACTTCTAAAACTAGTGCTGAAGGTAGTACCGTGGAGGTCAATTTGAATTTGAGTTTGGGAGGAGAGCCTTCGTCTTCATCAGCTGTGGCTGTGCTTGAAAGAGATGGTCTGGATCGTGATACCCACAGTAAACGTCCCAAAGTTCATTCTCTTGCGCTGTGAGTTCCTCTTACTTTTTTTTTTTAAATTATTGGTAATATGTTTTTAGTTGATGAATTTGCAACTCGATTGCTATTTAGTGGTAGGTTTTCTGATTCTTCTGGCCAAATATCGAGATAATCTGTTGCTTTAGTGGCATGAAGATGAATCATGTGTATGCCTTTTCAAATATTTACTTCAGTGAATTGAAGAAGAACTGAACTTATATGAGTAAGAAACGAAATGGCATTTGGGGTGGTCAAGGCCTTCACTGGTCTTTGTCTTCATCCAATATTTGGTTGTCAACATTGTAAAGCTTCAACATGTGGTCTTCTGGTATATTAAAGCCTTTGTAGTTTGTCATGTCTGTTCAACCACTGCCCATTTCAAATCGTAGGGCATATTGATATTTTAAATTGAAAGAAAACTGCAATCCCATAGTCTTCTATTGTTGTAGTGTTTCTTTTTCATTTGGTTTTTTATATGATAACTGTGTGCATCTGTTTAGGGATTGTGATAGCTTTCTTCTATCTGCGGCTTTTCAAGAGAGTGATCCCTTTAGTCTGATCGGGAAAGAGTATGAGAGAATGCATAATACATCAGCTCCCTTCCTTTGTTCAGTATCTGATGACGATGGAAATCCTTTCACGTCCAATAGTTGGAGAATGGAGGAAGATGAAGATGTAGTGTCAGATATGGATGATCGAGAAATTCGAATGGATCTTACTGATGACTTGTTGCATATGGTATGGCCTTTTTCATCACCACCGCCTCCTTTATTTTTTTTGTGATTCTGTTGCTAATACGAGCTGATGATTTTTTCTGGCTTGTTAGGTTTTTTCTTTCCTGGACCACATTAATCTTTGTAGAGCAGCTAAGGTTTGCAGGCAATGGCGCATAGCCAGTGCACATGAAGATTTCTGGAGGTTCTTAAACTTTGAGAACCGGAACATATCTCCACAACAATGTAAGATGGGTTTATTTATTTTGGTGAATTACATATGGATGTACCCAGGATTCTCAGGGTTTTGTGTAAGCTAGAAACATACACTGGAAATATGAAATGGGAATTTTCTCTAGCAGAAAACATGTCCAGTCTATTTAGGAAGATGCTAAGTATAAAATATTTTGCTATATCAAATTAAGGGCAGGTCATCCCCTTTGGTCGGGTTAAGCTAGATCGTTTTTTCATCACTTCATAACTAAAGGATATTTGTGGTTAATGTCTAAGATGATTCATCTTCTAAACATGTTTGCATGCTGCTTAATAGGAGTAAATTTTGATTTAGATGAGGTTAAATTTGGTTACTACTCTTTCACAAATATCAAGGCTGTGCTATACCTTCATAGATGGGTGGTCCAGAATTGTGACGTTTTTCTTTTCTTAGCAACGCCGAAGTGAGTTTAATAGGGAACTGCTAATTCTGTAGGAACCATCTATATGACAACACATTTAAAAAAGGATACAAGATGTAGGGGTGTAAACGAGTCGAGCTTTTAACGAGTTACTTGAGCTCATTTATCTCGATCTCGAGTCGATCTCAAACACAAAATAGAACTCGTCTAACTTAATTAGCCGAGCTTCATAACACCATTGTTTGACTCGGCGCGTTTGAAAACTCTATTAAATTCTTCGAGTCGAGCCGAGCCGAGCCATTCGAGCATATACTTTTTCGAGCCAAACATGCTCATATGTTTATATAAAAATATAAAAAATATCAACCTCGAGCCAATAAATGAGTTAGTCTATCGCGAGTTCGAGCCCATAAACGAGCATCGAGCATGAGCTCGATACTTAAAAAATATTCGAGCTCGAGCCCTGCATTGAAAAAGTTATCGAGCTCGAGCCAAGTATTATTTTATCAAGCCAAGCTTGAATAACCTACTACTCGACTCGGCTTGGCTTGTTTACACCCCTAACAAGATGTCTGTGTTACGAAAACGTAACTTGTGTACATTTGTGCTCATATACAATTGCTAATTTGGAGTCTCTGTTAGTTAGCAATTGCATTTGAGTGATTTGACAAGTGTTTATTATATTGTCATGCCACTCTTAAACTATTGTTTGAGTCCTATGGTGATCATTTGAAGTCATAGTTGGTTAGCAATTGCATCTGTCAGGTGTGTATGATATTTTCATAATCATAACATAGCCCTAAACTTCATATTGTTTTTTAGTTATTATATTATTATCTGTAGATGATCAATATTGTTTTTAGTTATTAAAAGAGGTAATGGATATCTTGGTTCGAGAAAGTACAACAAAATTAGTAACTGAAGAGAAATGGAAAGAGATTACATGGAGACCACTAGGAGAGTACACATAAATGATGTAAATTTTTTACCCTTGCTGGAGTTGTGAGAAGAGAACAAAACAGAATGGAATGCAAGAGAGGAGAGGATAACAGTAACAATGAGGTTTAGAAATGATGAAGGGAACACCTACCAGAGACATCACCATGACAGATATAATGAAACCTTAGGACCAAACAAAAGTTTGTTGAGTTATAGGGTAAAAAAATCTACTATAGTTTTAAAGAAGCGATCTGTTGATATGAGGGGAATTTAGACAAAGATTCTGATTTGTTAGTGAGTTATTACCATTTTCGTCAAGAAAAGAACTGTCTTACCTAATATATGTTTCTGACAACACCAATTGTAGTTATAATGCCCAACATCTAATCAGTGTCTCATAATGAAAGCCCTAGCTGATCACAGAATCTTATGATATTCGTTTTTTTCAGTTGAAGATATGTGTCATCGATATCCAAATGCTACTCAAGTAAACATTAATGGTTCGCCTGCTATTCATACACTTGTAATGCAAGCGATTTCTTCATTAAGGTGACCACTGTTCATTACATAAGGGCATCTCTTCATCTAATGCTGGGTTAACTGGTTATGCATTTGACAATTTTCAGGAATCTTGAGTTCTTAACTTTGGGCAAAGGACAGTTAGGGGAGACATTTTTCCAAGCTTTAACTGATTGCACTATGTTAAAGAGTTTAATTGTGACTGATGCTATTCTTGGTAATGGTATTCAGGAGATACCCATATACCATGATAGTTTGCGTCACATTCAAATTGTAAAATGCCGTGTGGTCCGTATATCTGTCAGGTGATAATGTACATCTATAACTATCAGTAGAGATGTTTACAGGGGTGTGATGTAATATTACTAAGAATGTGCTACCATTTTTCCAGGTGTCCCCAACTTCAGACTTTGTCATTGAAGCGAAGTAGCATGGCACATGCTGTGCTGAACTGCCCTCTTCTCCGTGATCTCGATATAGCATCTTGTCATAAGCTCCTAGATGCTGCAATTCGCTCAGCAGTGACATCATGCCCTCTCTTAGAGTCCTTGGACATGTCAAACTGTTCTTGTGTTAGTGATGAAACACTGCGTGAAATTTCCTTAACTTGTGGCAATCTTCATATTCTGAATGCATCATACTGTCCAAACATTTCCCTTGAGGTAATTTTTGTGGGTTAGTGCTGTTATTTTTATGATCATAGATGTCAATTTGTGAACAAAAGTGAGAATTTTTATATTAATTTCATGAATGTGTATAGCACCTGATCATGGACTTGCTTTTCAACTTTTTTCTTAACTAACTTCTATCATAGCAGTTAGATTTCTCAACTTCTACGTCATCGGGAATCTCACCAAATTCTCTAAATGAAAAACAAAGTACTATAGTGATTTTAGAAATATACAAGTTGTTTGTTCCATAGTTATCAATTTCAACATTTACTGAATACCATAATAAAAATCTTACTTTCCATGCGGCATAACATATATATATATATATCATGATTGATGAACGCTACATGTAAATCTACAAACAACTTTGTCAAAAAGGTTTATATTGTCTTACATTGATGCTAGCCTGCTAGGGACTAGGGAGTTTTGCTGATACACCGACTATTCAGACACTTCTTTTTTGACTTATTGTTTGTGTTGTCAATCAAACTGAATCATATATGATTCGACTAATATGCTTCCGGGATAATATACATAATATACCCTTGTTTGTTTGCTTGAAGTCTGTGAGATTGCCAATGCTGACGGTTCTCAAGCTACATAGTTGTGAAGGCATAACTTCTGCGTCTATGGCTGCCATATCTCATAGTTATATGTTGGAGGTGAGAACATGCTTTTTGTCTAGATACTGACAGCTAACTTCTGAAACCTTAACCAGTCTTTATATATTTTCTCTGCTGCAGATTTTGGAGCTTGATAATTGTAGTTTACTGACATCAGTCTTCTTGGACCTTCCTCGCTTGCAGAATATTAGACTTGTACACTGTCGCAAGTATAATACTCTATACCCAATTATGGTCCCTTATCATAGAAAATATTCTATTAGAATCATTAATTTTTATTGCTAACATGGTTGCAGGTTTGTGGACTTAAGTTTGAGGAGTGTGGTGTTATCATCCATTAAAGTTTCTAACTGCCCTTCACTTCAGCGAATCAACATTGTATCGAACTCACTGCAAGTACGGTTCAGTCGTATTTGTTCTTTTGCTCTCCCAAGCTTCTTCTCTGTGTTATTCTGAATGCTTGAATTCTTGTTATTTCTATGCAGAAACTAATTTTGCAAAAACAGGAAAGCTTAACTTCCTTAGAGCTGCAGTGTCAGTGTTTACAAGAAGTTGACCTGACAGACTGTGAATCTTTGACAAATTCGATCTGTGAAGTTTTTAGTGATGGCAGTGGATGCCCCATGCTCAAATCGTTGATTCTTGACAACTGTGAGGTTCGTAACTTACTTTTGATGCTCATACTCACTTTGCATAAACATTAATTAGTTTTTACCATTTGAGGTTATAACTTGTGGGTCCATTCATATAATCTGAGGAGAATGAATGTGATTATGATAAACGAAAAAGAAACCCAGGTAATGGAGATTCGAGGAAAGAGGTTTAAAGTAATAAGCACTCATTATTTAATCTCCTTGATTCCTGTTTACCTACATTTTTCTTGCACATTCTTGTATGTAATCATAGTTATCAAGGTGTGTGCCATGTCACAATGTAAACTTGATGGCACAACTTCAAAGTTTGATTTATGAATCTAATCTACACTGCTTGATGTTTTGGTTGTATCTTGCAATGAGCACATAAATCCTTTAAAACATATATAATATGAAGTCTGGAGAAGAACAAGACCTAATCTTCAAGTCCTCAACATCTTTCTCTTTTCAATGAGCAAGTCGGCCCTGTTTATTTTCTCTTGATAAATCTTTAAAAATGTTGTTTATATCTAATGATCAACAACTTGAGCAGCTAACATGTGTTTAGTTTTCGTGTCTTTTTCTTTGTAAAATCTTTATTCCATTGACTGATTCTTTTTACTTAGTTACCCATTTAGGCTTCACTTTTGTATTTGGTTTGTTTTGAGCACTAAACTGGCACAAGTAAAATATTTCCCTGATAGCGTATGGTAACTTTTATCTACTATTGTTCATTTGTTTTTGGTAAGTCATTTGTGACAGAACACCTTTCTTTAGTTAAACATAGTCGTGGTTTGTGGTTTTTGGTTTTAAAGTCAAGTTCACATAGATTTATGAGTACATACTCTCACTTCTTTTTTTCTTTTGCCTGGGAATTGTTGTGCACTGTGCATAACTCGATCCGATTTAGCACAGTGCTTGCACCTTGACTGCTATCTAATAGATTCAACATTTGTTATAATGGTGTATGATTATTAACTGATGATGCTTGTTTGATTGTGTAGATCAAGTGTTTCTCAATAATTCAAATTAGGCCTAGCTAAAATAGTCTGGCAAAGTGCACTTTTTGGTGTTTGAAAGGCAAAGAAAGATGTGATAATCCTGTCAAAGCCATGATGTAGCTAGGAAGGATATTGTTCTCATTTTGGGTTAAATGTTAACAAATGTTGGTGGTTAAAGATTATAGTGAATTTGTTAATTGATGAATCGGTAATATATATGCTATTGATATTAATGACTTTTAAACAGTTAATTAATTTGAATTATAAGTCTTTTCACGCTGTGTGAATTTGTGCTTTTCATATAGCCATGTGTCTTGCTTCTTTTGCTTCATGCCTTGGCCCTGAAAGACCTTTGTACCTTGGTGTGCCTTAAGTAACACAGGAGAATCTCGGTGTTAAGAGATTTTTTAGAGCTTGAAGATTAAATCCCCCAACTTTCACATCTCTAACCAACTTTCTATTTGAACTGCTGGGCTAACTTCTATCTTGACTTTGCTTGCTTGATAGGACTTATAAGCACATAATAGAGCATATGTTTAAAGTAAGTGATGTTAAAGCATTGTAGTTCTATGTTCCAAAGTGTCCACTTCTCTTTTCTTGATCATTACTACGGCCTCTTGTTTTGTGCTGCTGTTCATGTTCAAGCATGACTGTTTTTTAGCAATTAAGTTAGGTGGTGTTGTAGTTCTTTGGTTGTTTTGGTTCTTCCGGCTGCATATCACCTGTATATGGTCATGTGTTTGAGCTGCCCCATCTGTAGATCAGCTCTATTATTGTTTACATTAATAAAGAGATGCACCTATTTACTAGGCATTAGTGATGGAAAGCAATTTGAAGGTTGCATGTTGCAGAATGGATCTCCAATGTGCTCTATGATTGTTATGTATGAAAGGATAACAAATTGACTACAATAGAATCAACTCGACATAATGAAACTAGCATAATAGGCTTCAGTTTTTATTTTTATTGTAATGTCTACTTATGCCGTTCAAAGTTCCTATAAATCTTCCACCCAATTTCTCAATCGATTATTTCTATTTTTCTATTTATGGTTCCTAATTGTTTGGATGTTGCTCGAGTCTGAGGACAGCATTTCTAACTAAAACTAATGCTAAGTAGTCATCCTCATGTGATTTGCACCTATCTGGTTATTCATGCTATATTGTATTTCATTTTTTAGTTCAGTGCCACATGCTATTGCTTATTGTTTGGTGGTCACAGTTTTGATTCTGTACAATGTTTGGCTAGTTTTATATTTTACATATTGAATGTGGTTATATTCATTGGTTCAGAGCTTGACAGCGGTGGAATTCTCTAGCAATTCTTTAACGAGTCTTTCCCTTGCTGGTTGCCGTGCTATTACGTCTCTCGAACTAACTTGCCCTTATCTGGAGCAAGTCTCTTTGGATGGATGTGATCATCTTGAAAGAGCGATGTTCAGTCCAGTAAGTGAATCAATCACTATCCTGTTTCTACTTTATAGTTCACCTTCTGACCATACTTCAGTTTTGCTACTATTATCCCTATTGAATTTCTACTACATTATGTACTTTTTTATTGCTTCTTTGTCTTATCCTATCAGTGGCTTTATTTTATGCCTGAATCATTGTAGGTTCCCAAATTATATTTCTAAAAAATCTATGACATGACCATAATTGTCAAACAGTAAATTTCTTGAAAAGCAGGTATTACAGTGTGTAATGTGTATCAATTGATCTGGTCTCAACACAATTGGAAATAACTGTACATGCTGTAATGCCTGAAGTGAAGGAATTAGTTTATTAAGCAGTGAAGTATATTCTGCTCTGTACTAATCGAATTATTTCATCAAACTGCATAGCTGTACATGTTATCATTTACCATATCTTAATTTCGATTTGAGTGTTACTAGAACCAACTTTTCTATATAATACTCGCTCCTGTGTCTATTTTTTAAAATGTTTTGGCATTCAACATCATGTATCTCACTCAAGAGCCTTATCATAGTATTGCATTTTCTGTCCAAAAAAGAGAGGGGCTAGAGTAGTCGATAAAACCATTATAAAATTTAGGTCAGAAAATGAGAGTCATCCGAATCCAAAATGTGACATAAAAATGTGGTACCAGTCTTTGTGTCAAACTACAAGCAGTGTTGTTGGAGGTTTGTTTAGGTGCAGTCACTTGATGGAGGTACAATGAGGCAGCTACCTTTTCTGATTAGAGAGAATATAGGTGGTTGCCATAAGTCAGTTTGGGAGACTGAAGGCGGGATGCTTTTGACTTGGCTCGGAGTTCTGGGGTGCTTTTTATACTTAAATGCAGCAAGAGCTTGAGAGTAATTGACCAAATTGGGAGGGGGGAAGGGGGAGACAATGGTTTTGAGAGTGTTGATCATGATTCTGAGGGTTTTCACAGAGGGCAAGAGAGGTGACGAAGATTCTGATGATTTTCAACGAGGGGTGAGGCCACAACTTCTAGGGTATCCTACAGGAGTTTTGAGAGGTGGCAGCAATTCATTCCACAGAGAGTTAGAGAGATGAAAATATTTTCACTAATAAATGAAACTTGACAAGGCTTGCTGTTATTGTGCCTTGGAAACTGATTACTTTCTGAAAAAGAAGCAAAACAAAAAAAAATGTTTAATTGAAGAAACGGGTAAATGTTCATTTATTCATTAATTTCTCTCAAAAATAAATAGCGAGTTATTTATTGAATATTTTTTAATTCTTGAAATGATTTCTCTTATTAAAGATAAACTTAAATAATTGTTGAAGTTCTTAAATTCTTGAATCTCAGCCTTTTTTCTATATTAGTCAGACTGTCAGAACATGAATTTTATTTACAATGTTATATTTGTTTTTGAATTTTTTTGCAAGTGGTGCGCCTCACTTCGACAAGGGACGCACCTCGGCGTATGCCTTACACCTAGGGGTGTTAACAAGTCGAGTCGAGCAGTAGGTTGTTTGGGTTCAACTCGGAAAATAACATCAAGCTTGAGCTCGATTATTTTCAACGTCCGGCTCGATCTTGATACTTGTTTGACAATTGAGTTACACATTATGACCTAAACTTCAAGCTGAATAGTCTCGTTTATTGGCTTGTGTAACGCCCCAATTCCTACTTCGGGTGCCGTTAACTTGAAATTTAACTTTATTTATAAAACTTAGCTTTATGATTACGATAGAGTTCAAATACTAGCGGAAACGTAACTCAATAGCTTGCTATTGATTAGAACAATACTTCTTCATGATATCCTTCTTTACTCCTTCCCTGAGATGCATACATGAGATCATTAAGCTAAAAGCTTAGTGAGTAGTTACGGTTTCATGAATAAACAATTTTCATGATGCTTAACATCTTGTGAATTCATTAAAACTCTTGGTCATGCTCAAAATAATCTTTTTATCATGCATAAACTTTCTTTTGAGATCTCACTTGTCACATTTAAGTATACCATACTTCCCTTGAGGTTTGCTAACCCCAGGGTCCATAAGGGTGCGTTTGGTACGCAGACAGGACAGGACAGGACAAAACAGGACAGGACAGGTGTTCAACGTTTGGTAAGACATGACAGGATAGGACAGAACAGGACCGAACTGGTTAAAATGACCAATTTACCCCCAGTGACATTTCAAGTACATAACTACATATCAGGCGAAACAATAGGCAAAATCGAGTGTGTTGAGAAACAGTAGGCAAAACAGTAGGCAAAATCCAAACAGTAGGCAAAATCGATTTATCAATCGGAACAGTAGGCAAAATCGATTACCAGCTATGAAGACGACGACGAAGATGGAGGAGACGGTGGATGCTGTGAATAAATCGATGCTATGAAGAAGACGACGAAACAGTAGGCAAAATCCAAACACCCGGTTCATGATTCAACTAAAAACACAAAATCAATAAAAAAATCATTTCGAATTTCATCAAATAGAACAAACTCCAGTTCGTGAAATCCAAATAGAACACATAGAAAATCGAGAGAAATTGACCGTACCTTTGTTCTTGGATGCTGTGAAGAAATCGATGGAGATGGAGGTCTCCTGTGAAGAAATCGATGGAGATGGAGGTGGACTGTGAAGAAATCGATGGAGATGGAGATCGATGGAGATGGAGGTGGACTGTGAAGAAATCGATGGAGATGGAGATCGATCGAGATGAAGGTCTCCTGTGAAGAGATCGATGGAGATGAAGGTCTCCTGTGAAGAAATCGATGGAGATGGAGATCGATGGAGATGGAGGTGGACTGTGAAATCGATGGAGATGGAGATCGATGGAGATGGACTGTGAAGAAATCGATGGAGAAGAAGACGACGAAGATGGAGATGGAGATCGATGGGTATATTTGTCAAATATGTCTTGTTCCACTTATTCCAGGGGGGTGAGGGTGAACAGGCTTGTCCCATACGTGTTCCACTTAGTTCCACTTAGAAACACACCAAACATGGGACAAGTGTGTCCTGTCCTGTCCTGTCCCACCTTGTTCCACGTACCAAACGCACCCTAAAGGCTGCCCCATAAGGTCCGTTTGCAAGACGTCCTTCATTCTATATCCTGTATGTTGGATATTTATGGTCATACATAACATGCATAAAACTTTGATGCCTTATGTGTAAAACACATCGTAACATGCCATCATACGTATATCTTGGCTATATATAACGTATCACCATTTTGCGTAAAGCGAATATGCAAAATCATCTTATCAATTTCTTCATAATGCATAAAATACATTTACATATATTATATATGTATCTCAGTAAATCTCATAAGACACTCACCTTGATTATGCCTAGCTTGCCTTTGATCTCTTACTTCAAGCTTAGTAGTGTATTTTGAGAGAGAGATTATGGTATTAACCTAATGGCGGCCTCACTTCTTCCTCTATTTATAGTGAAATACAACACATCAACTACTTGTTCTTCTTGCTTTCAAGATTGCACTCTTATAAGATTTGAACACCTCATACTTTAGGATGAGAGAATCTTGACACATCGTGCTTCTAGCTTGCATTGTCATGCTTCCAGCCTTGGTTTGTCATCACTTAGCTTGCTTTATTAGGCTTGCTTTGTCATCTATGTAGCTTTGATTTCTCATGCTTAGCCATCGTAAGCTACTTGTAGACTACTTGTAAGCTACTTGCGTTGAAAATATGATAATTTGATAGATGATACAGCTGCTGGCACCTTTTTAGAGTACTTAAATTGCTGATAATATTTGTATATAAGACTTAAAAATTGTAATTTAACAAATATGAAACTAAGGTGTTACAGCTTGAGCTATATATTTTGATTGTTTAACATGAACTATGAACATGTTCGGCTTGAAAAAAGTGTGCTTGTATGGCTCGGCTACTCGGCTCGAAAATTTGAACGAGCTGAGTCGAACGTTGATGCTACGGAGTTTGACTTGTTAAGTTAAACGAGTTTTATCTTGTGTTCAAGATTGACTTGAGCTTGAGAATTACGAACCTTGAGCTTGAGATAAAGGAGACCGAACTCAGGTAGCTCGTTAAATGCTCGAATCATTAACACCCCTACTTATACCTACACCCCAGGATACCTTTGCAGGGTGTGTTTGGTACATGGGATGGGATCACAGGACAGGACATAACAAAAACTTGTCCACATTTGGTGTGACAATTAGATTGCGATAGGATAGAACTGAATGGGTTTTTTGTCCCACCAAAATAGGTAGAACAAAAATCATGAAGAAGGGACAACATAGGTAAATTACTAAACTAACCATGTCAAATTAAAACATTCCACAATTCTTTCACCCGCCTATCTAGCTATTACCAGTTCCGTCCTGTCAGCATATTGAACGCACCCTAAATGTGCCTTGCGCCTTGAATAACATTACTTACAAGTCTTTGACTGTATATATCTGATGTATTTCTCACATTTTCCTTTTGCTAGGTTGGTCTTCGATCTCTTAATTTGGGAATATGTCCCAAACTAAATGCACTCAAGATTGAAGCACCAGCTATGGTGTTGCTTGAACTGAAGGGGTGTGGTGTCCTATCAGAAGCATTAATAAATTGCCCCCTATTGACATCTCTGGATGCTTCCTTTTGCAGGTCATATGAATTTATACTTGTAAACAACTTTACTGTTCTCTCTCTGTGTTCATTGGCTAAAAGTTTGGTTGCTTTATTCTCTAATACGATGCTAATGTTTTATGTTTCACATATGCAGCCAACTGAAGGATGACTGCTTATCTGCAACTACTGCTTCATGTCCCCTCATTGAGTCACTAATTTTGATGTCATGCCCATCTGTTGGTTCAGATGGACTGTTATCTCTGCGCTGGCTTCCTAATTTGACGTCACTTGATCTTTCCTACACTTTCTTAACGAACTTGCAGCCTGTATTTGATTCATGTTTGCAATTAAAGGTGAGTGATTATTGAGATACATGCTGGCCAATTCTATTGATTACATGGCACACATTAGGGCATTTTTGTTATGTTTTGTTTTATTAATGTTTTACTAGTGGTTATATGATAGAAGGCAGGGTACACTACTGGTAGAAGCTTAAGTGAGTAGTGATGCAAGTAGTGATAGTTGTTTATCATTGCATTGCTGAAACCAGCCAAGAAAGAAAACCAAATAACACGGGTGAATGACCTAGTTTCAGTTATTTTCAATTTATTAGTTTCTATGTCATTACTTTCTCTGAAAGCTTCCAAATTTGTTAACTTCCCTTGTTACCTTTTCGGGCCTTCCAAGCTGTACTGTCTTTTTCTTTTTTCATGTTTATGTTTTTGGTTTACTGGTTTTTTTTGCTTGAAGGTTTTGAAATTGCAAGCATGCAAGTATCTCACGGACTCATCACTAGAACCTCTATACAAAGATGGTGCTCTCCCTACTCTCCGTGAATTAGACTTGTCATATGGGAGCTTGTGCCAGGCTTCCATAGAGGAGCTTCTTGCTTGCTGTACCCATTTAACTCACGTCAGTTTGAATGGGTGCGTGAATATGCATGACCTAAATTGGAGTTTTGGCGATGATCGTGTGCATGTATCCAGCATGCCTTCTGAAGGTGAGCCACCCTTGCATGCTGAACAACCTCAACGTTTGCTACAAAATCTCAACTGTGTTGGTTGTCCAAATATCAAGAAAGTACTCATCCCTTCGGTGGCACGTTTTTCCCATCTATCATCATTAAACATTTCATTATCTGCAAACTTGAAAGAAGTTGATGTGGCCTGTTATAATTTGTGCTTTCTCAATCTAAGGTATGGCTTCCTCCCTTGATTTTGTGCTATTATATTAATTGCTGTGATGCTCAAATATCCAACTTGAGTTCCTTTTTTTGTGTGTTTTCTACCTCAGCAATTGCAGCTCATTGGAAATCTTGAAACTTGACTGTCCAAGATTAACTAGCCTTTTTCTGCAGGTATGCATGGTCTCATCCAAGTTAAATTTTATGTGTGTGTGTATGGTTACTAAAATTAGTTCTTGTCTTTTCTTATACTTTTTATTGTCCCAAATATCTGTCCACATTTCTATTTTAGCTTGTTCTAGAATAACTCTCGACATTTCTATTTTAGTCTGTCCCAAAATAAGGGTCCACTTATTTTGAAAGTGTCTACTGATTTCTTTCTTAATTAAAATATGAGCAGTTCTGTTCTCCCTTATCGTTAAGGGTAAAATTGTCATTTTGTTAACAAAAAAAGTGTAATAATTACATATTCCTAAACCACGTGCCTGTTTCATTGTGGACATTTATTTTGGACGAAGGGTGTATTTGTTTATTTGAGTTCTGTTTTGACCTTCTGTTCTTTTTCATGTCACCAAACAATCATCTAATGCTGTCTTTCTATTTTTGACTCCCTGTACCAAAAAATACAACTTTTGAGTCTGACTAATGATCAAATACCTGATATATCGTGTACTAAAACAAATTTAAACTTGAGAATACTTGTGAACCACGATCAATGTCGCCAAATATTTTGTAACTGCCTTTTTTCTTGGACAGCCCAAAATTGAAAGGGTTGTTTTTTTATCTTTTTCTTTGTTGGATGGAATATCCAAAAAGTCTCGTTTGCGTTTCTGACTCGTCTCTCTTAACTAGTCTTGCAATATTAGTGAAGAAGCAGTTGAATCTGCCATATCACAGTGTAACATGCTGGAGACTCTGGACGTCCGTTTTTGTCAAAAGGTGAGTCTCGGATAAAAATGCTTCAACATTGTTGATTGAAACCACGTTGTTTTCTCGGTCTGATTCTTCCTTTTTTTCTGGAATTGTGTGTTGTAGATAAGCCCGGCAAGCATGGGAAGATTACGAGCCGCCTGCCCTAGCTTGAAACGCATATTCAGCAGCCTCGTGCCGATTTGATAACATATATCTGGAAGAATTCTCTCAAAACATTTCTATATGTTAAATTATCGTCTGTTTGTTCAAGTTTATGTTTCTGTTTTTAAGGGTGTATAAAAGGTTTGATGTGATGGATTGTAGAGTGTAATAAACGGTTTTCATTTTGACAAAACTATGTATCATAAATACCAAAAGGTTTCATTTGGGCAGCAACCTTAATTTGAAACGTAAGTGAATGGTATTTGGTAGTGACTTAATGATATAGAAAGTGATATTCAGTAAGCTTTCAGTCGGAAGTTTTATGTAGAAAATCAAGTTTTTTTCAAACTTGTTTTTCCCAATTAAAAGAACATGTTCCTTGCATGTATGGAAAAAGCTCTTCTAAACAAAAAGATTAATCTACACAGACAACTTTATTTATAAAGAACTTAGGGGTTGCTTGATTTTATATCTATCAAGTTCTGAACGTATTAAGTTGTTTCTGGGCATTAATTTGTCTGATAAATTAAGATAAATTGTTGTTATGAAAAAATAATCTGCACAACAAAAATGACCATTTTAACTTTATATCTAGACAAGTGTTGAACTAAAATAAATTGTTTGATAAATATTTAAAATCACGGTAAGGATTAATATAAATAATTTAAAATAACATAAATATGATGGAATTCAAATAACACAATATTTAATAACTTAAAATATATTTAAAAAATGTTTTTATTATTGTTTAATTACAATTTTTAATTTATGCACTTTGGTAAACGGTTTATTTTTTAGTGAGACAAGATGATTTTGGAAAAAAAAATGCTAACTTAATATATTAAAGTGGCGTTTGGTTCGCAGATTCTGGAGGAATTTGAAGGAAGTGGAATGTTGAATTCCTTTGACCAAATTCATTTCTTTCGTTTGGTTCATTCTTTTCAGCAGAAGGAATCTTCAGATTCCTATGAATTCCATGAGATTTTAACATTCCTTAGCAACTACATGGTATTTTGATGGAATGAAATCTCTATCTTCATTATACCAAATATGCCTTTAACCTAATATACTATAATCTCATAAAACTCAATATGACCATCGTCGACCACCTCTCGACCACTATTGATTTGAACCACCGCCGACCACCACCACTGACTACCACCACCGATCTGAACCACCGCCGACCACCACCACTGAATACCACCAATCTGAACCACCGCCGACCACCACCACCGATCTGAACCACCGCCGACCACCACCATCGATCTGAACCACCACCGACCACCACCACCGACTACCACATGTCTGAACCACCGCCGACCACCACCACCGATCTGAACCACCGTTGACTACCATTGATCTGAACCACCGCCGACCACCACCACCAACTACCACCGATCTGAACCACCGCCGATCTGAACCACCATGGACCACCATCGATCTAAACTACGCTGACCACCACCACTAACTACCACCGATCTGAACCATTGTCGACCACCGCCGACTACCACCGATCTGAACCATCGTCGACCACCACCACCGATTACCACCGATCTGAAATATCGTCAACCACCACCACCGACTACTACCGATCTGAGCCACCACTGATCTGATTCACCGTTAATCTGAACCTCCGACGATAACCGCCATCTGAACCACTATGGACCACCACCGATCTGAACCACTATCGACCATCGTCATCTGAACCACCACGGACCATCATCGATCTGAACCACCGCCAACTACTACTGATCTAAAGTATCGTCGATCTAAACCACCATTGACCATCACCGATATGATCCATCGTCGATCTGAACCACATCTGACCATCGTCGCCTGAACCACAACGGACCACCATCAATCTATATCACTGCCAACCACCGACGACTACCATTGATCTGAATCACCGTCGGAAACCGTCGACCACCACCGATTTGAATAACCACCGCCGCCACCGCCTATCTGAACCATCGCTGACCACCTCCATCTGAACCACTGCGGACCACCATCGATCTGAATTACTACGAACCACCACCATCTGAACCACTGTGAATCACCACCGATCTGAACCACCGCCGACCATCGTCGATTTAGTAACGTCGTTTGGCTTATGATTATATTTGGGTTGTGTATTTTATATTGTTTTACATATTAAATAATTATTTTATTGAAGTATTTTTAGTTTTAAAAAAATTAAAATTTTCAAAAAAGGGCATTTTGGTCATTTACCAAAATTTTAGTCTAATTCTAAAGCTACATTTTGTGAACCAAACAGAAAGATTCCAATTCCTTAACAGATTCCATTCCAAAGTCTGCCAACCAAACAGGTGGTCAAACCTGACAACATTCCATTCAAGTTCCTTCAAAGTCAAATTCCTTTAACAGATTCCATTTCATCCAAAAACATTCTACGAACCAAACGCCACCTAAGACAAAATGAGTTAGCTTAACTTAACATGTCAAGTCATTCTTTTAATATTATATTAAAATCAAACACCTTAATATAACAAAACCAATTAAGCTAATCAATTGTTAAACTTTTTAAGTTGAAAACAAGCACCACCTTAAAGAAATGAAAATAGGTGGAACAAAAATTAGAATTGAACCAGAAGGGTGGTGCCTGATTGGTTTGAGCTTGGCTCCAAAGGTCAAAAGTAACAAGAGGTCCCAGATTCAAATCCAATGAGGAATAAATATCTTCTTGTGGCCACAGAGGTTCAAATGCGATGACTTCGGGCAATCTGCAAAGCAGATGCTCGCCCTGGGATTAGTCGGCTCGCATAGCGGGTTGAATATCCAGGTTAATAAAAAAAAATTCCAGAACTATTAAGTTTGCCTACTTAGAAGACGTTTAGTTTGATGGAAATGGTTTTGAGATATTTTCATTTCGTGGAATGATTTGGAATTTGAGGGACTTGAAATCTTTGGTATATAGGATTTGAAATGAAATTGAATTACATTTTTTATAAATAATTTATAAAAACAAATTATAAAATAATTGTAAACACGATTAAATTATATTTTTATTAATTGATTATTATAAAACAAATGCTTTCAACAAATTTCAAATAAAACTACACGCAAATCCTTCGAAATCCTACGAAATACCAACAACTCCCATGAGATATCTAAATCCCATTTTTGTGGGATTTCAATAAAATTCTGAAATTTCAAATGTAAGCAATTCTGTAAATCAAACATACGACTGAAATAGAATTAAAATCCAAATCCCTTCAAATCCTATCAGGTCTTAAAACATGTTATGTGGTATGGTGTTGTATAATAGAGACAATGAGTTATTTAATAGTTTTTGACTTAATTAATAAGTTGCATGTAACTAGATGATATATATACCAATTGAAAGGGTTGGGTTTGGCATTAAAATGTTTGACCAGCAACAGGTCTGTATTCAATTAGATGCCCTTTTTTTCTGTCAGGTATTTAATTGTATGGGATATTGGTATATTTTATATCTGTATTATTTTCATAGAAAATTAACTCAAATGTCACTATCTACATAATATCCATTTTCGTAATATTGCAGACCTGGATAAAAGACAGGAAAAAAATTATCAGATTCAATCCAGGTATGCAATTGCAAAGATGTCACTTGCTAACCTGGTGGGATTTGAATATTTTTTTTTTGTCTTTTGGTCAGGTCCACAGTATTGCGGATGTGGATATTGCGAATATGGTGACATTTGGACAAAATCAGAAGATGAATGGCTAGAAGACCGATTTAAATGAATGGAACAACTATTTCTTATTTTGATACTGGATGTTTGAAAATGGGTCCTTTTTTTTTAAAAACTCAAATTAATATTTTCAAAATAAAAGGTATTTGAATATAAATTGAAGAAAATGACATCAATAAGATCACCATTTATAGTATACTGTTTAATTAATGGATGATCTATAAGTATAATATATCGAGATTTTAAAAAAAGGTCAGTTCTATTCATAACCCTTCTCAGTGAAACTTACCCAACAACAAAGTATAAAATTTTTACCAGGTAAACACTTATCGGGTAAAAGATGTTTACCAACAATCTATTTTAATGATCAAGAATGTTACTAGACAAGATAAAAGAGGGTGGCAACCCTTGTCAGTAAGCCTTTACCTAGTAATTGTTTGGTAAACGACAGATGAAACAATATTTTAAAAAGAGAAAATCACACCAAAATTTGTAGCCATGTTGTTTTATTTTATTTAAGAAAGCAAATTTATGTTTGTAATTCATACAAAAACTCTTTGGGCCGTTTACTAAACGCTTACCCATTAAGTACTTACTGGGAAATTTCCTCACTGGATGAACATGACAAAAGCCAAGAATCTTACCTCGTAAGAGCGATGATAAGGATGGAGAGTTTTACCCGGTAAGTAAGGGTGACGACTCTTACTCGTGTAAGCACTTACCAGGTAAATTGTTGCATATGATACGCTTTAATGTACTACAATCTTATCCGGTAAAATAAATTATAGTATTGACTCTTACTGTTAGCACTTACCGGATAAGCATTTATGAGGATGATTATTGTGACTAGTTTACTTGTACCAGCTAACTATGAATAAATGCTTGTTATCATTGGGGTTGTAACTTGTAAGAATTATATGAAGGGGACCAACAAGCATTTACATTAGATTTATAATATTCTTTTTACAAATTATATTGCATATCATTTAGACTGTATTAACCAAAAGGTCGTTGGAGAATGTGCTGGAATATCCCATCTATCTTGGGTTCGAGTTCAGACGCTAAATCTTGTGGTCAGGCCAGTCTAAGCCAACCGTAATTTGCCATGGTCTAGAAAATTGTCTAGACAATGATCTGTTCACCAGTTCCACCTCCACCGATCCTTCTCTTCTATGTCCACTTATTCCCCGTCTTCTTCTCCGTCCGCCAGCACCACGACCACCAAACCTTCTCATCTTCGTCTAATGGCGTCCCCTTCCTCTGTCTCTGTTCATCATAAAACTAGTGGTGTCCCCTTCCTTTGTCTCTGTTCATCATAAAACTAGTGGCGCCTCCTCCGCTTCTATGTCCATAGGTAGGGCTGGCAGCGTGCAAGGTATGAATAGGATAAGGGTTATTCTGTTACCATTTAAGATAGATGGTAACGCGTTGGATCTACATTGGATCTCACCTGAATCTCCCCATCTATCCTGGTGAGGAGAAGTTTGGTTTCAATGAAACGTTAATTATCCATATCCTACACTACCCAT